TTGATGTAGAAGAGACACGAAGAAGAGGGGACGCATGTTGATGTAGAAGAGACATGAAGAAGAGGGGACACATGTTGGTTGTAGAAGAGACACGAAGAAGAGGGGACACATGTTGATGTTAGAAGAGACACGAAGAAGAGGGGGACACATGTTGATGTATAAGAGACATGGAGAAGAGGGGACACCATGTTGATGTATAAGAGACATGGAGAAGAGGGGGACACATGTTGATGTAGAAGAGACATGAAGAAGAGGGACACATGTTGATGTAGAGGAGACACGGAGAAGAGGGGACACATGTTGATGTAGAAGAGACATGAAGAAGAGGGGACACATGTTGATGTAGAAGAGACATGAAGAAGAGGGGACACATGTTGATGTAGAAGAGACATGAAAAGAGGGGACACATGTTGATGTAGAAGAGACATGAAGAAGAGGGGACACATGTTGATGTAGAAGAGACACAAAGAAGAGGGGACACATGTTGATGTAGAGGAGACACGGAGAAGAGGGGACACGTGTTGATGTAGAAGAGACATGAAGAAGAGGGGACACGTGTTAATGTAGAAGAGACATGAGGAAGAGAGGACACGTGTTGATGTAGAAGAGACATGAAGAAGTGGGGACACATGTTGATGTAGAAGAGACATGAAGAAGTGGGGACACATGTTGATGTAGAAGAGACATGAAGAAGAGGGGACACATGTTGATGTAGAAGAGACGTGAGGAAGAGGGGACACATGTTGATGTAGAAGAGACGTGAAGAAGAGGGGACACATGTTGATGTAGAAGAGACGTGAAGAAGAGGGGACACATGTTGATGTAGAAGAGACGTGGAGAAGAGGGGACACATGTTGATGCAGAAGAGACGTGAAGAAGAGGGGACACATGTTGATGCAGAAGAGACATGAAGAAGAGGGGACACATGTTGATGTAGAAGAGACATGAAGAAGAGGGGACACATGTTGATGTAGAAGAGACATGAAGAAGAGGGGACACATGTTGATGTAGAAGAGACATGAAGAAGAGGGGACACATGTTGATGTAGAAGAGACATGAAGAAGAGAGGACACATGTTGATGTAGAAGAGACATGAAGAAGAGGAGACAAATGTTGATGTAGAAGAGACATGAAGAAGAGGGGACACATGTTGATGTAGAAGAGACATGAGGAAGAGGGGACACATGTTGATTTAGAAGAGACATGAAGAAGAGGGGACACATGTTGATGTAGAAGAGACATGAAGAAGAGGGGACACATGTTGATGTAGAAGAGACATGAAGAAGAGGGGACACATGTTGATGTAGAAGAGACATGAAGAAGAGGGGACACATGTGATGTAGAAGAGACATGAAAGAGGGGACACATGTTGATGTAGAAGAGACATGAAGAAGAGGGGACACATGTGATGTAGAAGAGACACGAAGAAGAGGGGACACATGTGATGTAGAAGAGACACGAAGAAGAGGGGACACATGTTGATGTAGAAGAGACACGAAGAAGAGGGGACACATGTTGATGTAGAAGAGACACGAAGAAGAGGGGACACATGTTGATGTAGAAGAGACATGAAGAAGAGGGGACAATGTTGATGTAGAGGAGGACACGGAGAAGAGGGGACACATGTGATGTAGAAGAGACACGAAGAAGAGGGGACACATGTTGATGTAGAAGAGACATGAAGGAAGAGGGACACGTGTTGATGTAGAAGAGACATGAAGAAGGGGACACATGTTGATGTAGAAGAGACATGAAGAAGTGGGGACACATGTTGATGTAGAAGAGACATGAAGAAGTGGGGACACATGTTGATGTAGAAGAGACATGAAGAAGTGGGGACACATGTTGATGTAGAAGAGACATGAAGAAGTGGGGACACATGTTGATGTAGAAGAGACATGAAGAAGATGGGACACATGTTGATGTAGAAGAGACATGGAGAAGAGGGGACACATGTTGATGTAGAAGAGACAATGAAGAGGGGACACATGTTGATGTAGAAGAGACATGAAGAAAGGGGACACATGTTGATGTAGAAGAGACATGAAGAGGGGGACACATGTTTGATGTAGAAGAGGACATGTGAGAAAGAGGGGACACATGTTGATGTAGAAGAGGACATGAGAAGAGGGGACACATGTTGATGTAGAAAGAGACATGAAGAAGAGGGGACACATGTTTGATGTAGAAGAGGACATGAAGGACAGACGGGGACACATGTTGATGTAGAAGAGACATGAAGAAGAGGGGAACCAACATGTTGATGGTAGAAGAGACATGAGAGAGGGACACATGTTGATTGTAGAGAGACATGGAGAAGAGGGGACACATGTGATGTTAAGAAGAGACATGGAAGAAGAGGGACACATGTTGATGTAGAAGAGAGACATGGAGAAAGACGGGGACACATGTTGATGTAGAAGAGACATGGAAGAAGAGGGGGACACATGGTGATGTAGCAGAGACAGTGAGGAAGAGGGGACACAGTGTTGATGTAGAGACGTGAGAAGAGGGTACACTGTTGAGTATAGAGACGGAAGAGAGGGACACATGTTGATGTAGAAGAGACGGAAGAAGAGTGGGACACATGTTGACTTTAGACGAGACGTGGAGAAGAGGGGACACATGCTGATGTAGAAGAGACATGAAGAAGAGGGGGACACATGTTGATGTAGAGAGAGAGAAGAAGGGGGACACATGTTGATGTAGAAGAGACGTGAAGAAGAGGGGGACACATGTTGATGTAGAAGAGACGTGAAAGAAGAGGGGACACATGTTGATGTAGAAGAGACATGAAGAAGAGGGGACAACATGTGATGCAGAAGAGACGTGAAGAAGAGGGGCACCATGTTGATGCAGAAGACTTGAAGAGAGGGGACACATGTTTGATGTAGAAGAGACATGAAGAAGAGGGGACACATGTTGATGTAGAAGAGACATGAAGAAGAGGGGACACATGTGATGTAGAAGAGACATGGAGAAGAGGGGACACATTGTTGATGTAGAAGAGACATGAAGAAGAGGGGGACACATGTGATGTAGAAGAGACGTGAAGGAAGAGGGGACACAGTTGATGTAGAAGAGACATGAAGAAGAGGGGACACATGTTGATGTAGAAGAGACATGAGAGAAGAGGGGACACATGTGATGTAGAAGAGACATGAAGAAGAAGGGACACATGTTGATGTAGAAGAGACGTGAGGAAGAGGGGACACATGTTGATGTAGAAGGAGACGTGAAGAAGAGGGGACACATGTTGATGTAGAAGAGACGTGAAGAAGAGGGGACACATGTTGATGTAGAAGAGACGTGGAGAAGAGGGGACACATGTTGATGCAGAAGAGACATGAAGAAGAGGGGACACATGTTGATTGCAGAAGAGACATGAAGAAGAGGGGACACATGTTGATGTAGAAGAGACATGAAGAAGAGGGGACACGTGTTGATGTAGAAGAGACATGAAGAAGAGGGAACACATGTTGATGTAGAAGAGACATGAGAAGAGAGGACACATGTTGATGTAGAAGAGACATGAAGAAGAGGAGGACACATGTTGATGTAGAAGAGACATGAAGAAGAGGAGACACATGTTGATGTAGAAAGAGACATGAAGAGAGACATGAGGAAGAGGGGACACATGTTGATTTAGAAGAGACATGAGAAGAGGGGACACATGTTGATGTAGAAGAGACATGAAGAAGAGGGGACACATGTTGATGTAGAAGAGACATGAAGAAGAGGGGACACATGTTGATGTAGAAGAGACATGAAGAAGAGGGGACACATGTTGATGTAGAAGAGACATGAAGAAGAGGGGACACATGTTGATATAGAAGAGACATGAAGAAGAGGGGACACATGTTGATGTAGAGGAGACATGAAGAAGTGGATTTTGCATAATAGGTGACCTTTAGGTCATTTGTATGTATTTGTGTGCAGTTTAACAAAAATCTTAGCTTTAGCTATTTTTGGGACTTTCATCATCATCTGATGGATTTGATTGATGGATGGAAGTATTATATGAAGTTCAATATTGGTAAGCTATGTCTCAATACAAATCTACTCATCGATACTTGGGCTGCGTTTCACTTCGGTTAAATGGATTCCTTGCGTCCCTCACTTGCGTCGTTTCCTTGCGACTAGTCCCTCCCACCAGGGAAGCATGGGGGGACGCAAGGAAACCACGAGAAGCAGGGAAATGAGTTTTAAGAGCAATGGGACGTCCTTTCCTCCGGAGCGTCACGTGAAGCGATGTCCGTTTGTGATGACGCCGCACAGCTGATCGTCTGACAGCAGCTCTGTCCCCGTTATTTTCACAAACACCCCCGCCTCTGTTAGTACACATTTACTGACACAAACTTGTATCATCTGTTGTAGACCCAAATAAATAAAATAAAATAAGAACTTATACTCAAAAAAAATAAACGCCATTCTTAAAATGTATAAATGAACATTAGTTGGATTAATATTGATTAGAGTGCACAATAGAAATAAAATAATTGAGAGAAAAATTACCGAAGTGAGACGCATCCTGGGTCTAAGAGAATGAAGCACCACGGAATGTATCCATGTGTCGTCATGAACTAGATGGTGGCTGAATCTCAGTTTAACTACTTCAGCTTGAGAGCTAATCGCTAAAGTTATAAATCAGGGAAAAAAGGTATTATTTTGCCCTCTGTTTTCTCTGTTCTATACATGTTTAGGTTAAAGTTCATAAAAGTTCAACTTGATGCTGTGAGAAGCCAGCTTAAATAAAGGAACACATAGAAACTGGGTGGCTTTGTTAAAGTGTCATGACAAAGATCAATACATGAAACCAAGGTGTCACATTATTAATAGTACATGTTCTGAACATGGTGTTTTCTATTAAGCAGCTAAATTGTGCTACATGATGGGTATGTTTTGCTTCCCTAGGCTCTGTGTAGTGTTTTGAGGGATAGGTTATTAGTTGTTACCCTGCTGCTGTATTAATCCTCTGCTCTGCCTCTCTCCTGCCTCAGAGGTAGACGAGTGCCAGATCAGCCCTTTCATCTGTGGCCAGGGGATCTGCTACAACACAGCGGAGGGATACACCTGCCACTGTGATGAGGGGTACCGCCTGGATGACGCCCAAACCACCTGTGTAGGTGAGGTTACAGTTTGCGAAGCAAGTCACTGAGGTCAAAGGTCATCTGGCGCATGTCCATGTCAATTTATGCAAGTTGGGCTGGATAATAACACATTTTGAATGCAGTGGTGGATGGGAGCGGAGCACAGTGATTTTACCTGAAGCTCAGAGCTATGTTGTATTGGACCTAATAACTCTACTTTCGACACAAAGAGTAGTTAGTACGAACATTATTTACATTTCTTTACAAACCAGCATTCAGCTAATCAGAAGGAATATGGAGTAAGTTCAACTCATTGATTATTATAACACCTTCTTGCACCTTCCACCTTGCACATTTCCCCTCTGTGGGACTAATAAAGGTATTCTGATTCTGTTGGGTAAGTAAAGTATCTCCCCATCCACAGGTCTATCTCTGTATTACAAATAGTATAATTTAGACATATGATTTTAATGTATGAATGTATACTTTTTGTTACAATTATGGAGATAAACATCTTTAAGGCATTTATTATTCAGTTGTGTTCTGATGTTATCCCATGTTGTGTGCTCTGATCAGATGTAGATGAGTGTTTGGAGAGCCCGCCCTCTTGTGTTGGCGGTCGCTGCGAGAACACAGAGGGCAGTTTCCTGTGTGTGTGTCCGGAGGGATTCCTCGTGGATGAAGAGGGGACTAGTTGTTTAGGTAAGAGCCCTCAACTCATGCAAAAGCTATTTTGATGCTTCTTTGAAAGACTATTTTATATGCACACTACTTTTCTCTATTTCTCTTACATCATTGTACTTACACAAAATAGAAACAATACTAGCCCCAATACTTTTACAATGTTCATGAGATGATAAAATAATGAGCCTTTAAAACAGCTAGTTGTGTTTCGTTCCTATGGTTACCTACTCTGCTGGCTTGCGCCTCTACGTACAGCTGTTTTCTGATTGGTTGCACTTCCAAAGGTCAGCCGTAACTACGTCAAAGTTTGAATAATTTGATGGCGACGCCGAGGGTAGCGCTTACGCCTCGTCAGGCTAAATGGTTCTCTCCTCAGAAACACAACGTCAGCACAGAGCTTTTTTATCGCGTATGCAGCTTAGCGTTAGCTTTTTACTTCTGGCGATTCATAAATAACAAAGTGGTGTTATTGTGTGGAGTTTATCTTGCTGAACAAAATGTGTTAGTATAATAAATGTGTGTTTGCCACAGAGCTCATTTTCTGCAATATTCTAAAATCCAGTGCAAAAATCCCGTTGCAATGCTAATTTTCATGTCGGTCTACAAAAATGTGTATTCACTCCACCACTCGAGATGGACCGCTTCAGTCCCTCTGCTAGGATTAGCACAAACATGCACATGTCATGTCAAAACTAGATGCAGCATCAAGCATGAGGACACAGTGAGCCCCGCACAGCCACAGCCTGTGTGGTCAGACCTTGGTCAAACACCTGGTCAAACATAAGCTCTGCACACTAACAAGCGCACACTAATAGAATTATAAGTCAGTGGAATCTTGGAGGAGCCGCTGACCACACCATTATGAGCGTTTGCACAACCTCCTCCCTGGTTTGTCCCACTTATTGGGATATAAATTCAAGGCACTCTGTCATTAAGCGGTTTCCTGCCATTCCAACGTAGCTTTCCCCACCCACCAAAATAATACTGAATTATGGTCTGTGAGAGCAAACAGGCCTGATGGCTGTTTATCCAGAGCTCGATTAAAATGTCTTATTCTCAACTGCGGAGGACGAGGGATCAGATTATGACTTTAACAGTTTTATAATGATGGATATTGCAACCGAGATATCTATTAATACGATCGATACAAAACCACGCTCAGTAGGAGTTTCAGACATTTTTTGGAATCCTGAAAACATCATTTTCAACATAGGAAAACCACTTTCCTACCATACATATTTGACTCTGCACTAATGCTATTTAAATATGTACTTTTGATGGGGTGAAAACCACCATTCAGTCAAAGCTACAGGTTTAAGGGCAGAAATGCATCAGACAGATACAAATATTCACTACAGTCGTGCAGAATGAAAACGGAAGCTTAGACATACAGCAGCATATCATTTTATCATCATCAGTTTATTGTCGTTCCAAAACAAACGTTCATGTTCCTTTAAGCTAAAAACAATATGGTACAGTATGACAGCGAATACTGCTGTATTGCTGCAGACGAAGCAACGTGAACAGGCTGTGGCTGGTTTGATGTTGGCCTTCTCCAGTGGGCTCTGTGCAGCCCCTCACTCCACCGATATCACTGACACTGACTGCCTGGTTGATGGGTACCAATTATGTTCTGGTAAGACTTTTAGTCTACCCCTGCAGAACCCTCCTGACCATGACAGTTTGTACGGTTTTCATTCATTATAGGGTTAAAACACAAATGAAAGAAAAACAACAGTTTATAAAAGTTTCACAACAACATTTAACAGTCATGCAGTGTTTTAGAGTTCTCGTAAAGCTCTTAAGTGAGGCTTTCTGGGATGATCTGTAATGCCTCCTTCAGGGGATCCAAGCTCCCCTGTATTTGAAAACATACCGATGGTCTATATAGATGAAGCAATTGACATGGGTAGCCAGGTCAATCTGAACGCCCATGTGGTTTCGTTTGAACTGCTCTGAAAGTAGAGCTTTGAATTTATTGCACCATTCCAAGATTACATTATATCCTAACCCCATGGTGAGTAAAGTCTAGCCGTCAACACATGCAGAAATCAGCCCAGAAAACAAATTCAGAATAAAATACTGTGCCAATCAAGCAATTCAACTAATAAACAATTCCAAAGAACATGTAGAATGGGCCCATATTTTCCTGGAAGGTGTCCCCATCCCTCCTCTTCAGTAGTTAGCTGCTCTGTGTCCCATGTGACAAATGGTGAGCTGTGAGGTTCTGACTGTTCACACACTATGCACCAGCCTCAGGAGGGTGGCAGGGAGTGGTGGTTGGTGAGAGAGGGAATAATTACGCCATGCAGTCCTTTTTAGAAGGTAATAACCCCTGCTCACAGATGTGCACATGAAACTGCCAAACTGAGGGTAATGTCAAGCATCTCACATGCGTGTGTGTGTGTGTGTGTGTGTGTGTGTGTGTGTGTGTGTGTGTGTGTGTGTGTGTGTGTGTGTGTGTGTGTGTGTGTGTGTGTGTGTGTGTGTGTGTGTGTGTGGTGTTTAAGAAATGAATCTAAAGTAGTTCCAAAACATGCTTATGTCAGTCATAAAGGGGCTTCTTGTTCTCCTGTCCTGGATTTATTATAATAAAGTTAACTCTATACTGTAGTACAGCATTGGCTTCTTTTTGCTTTTTTGTTCGCAGACCTCATACCGCCATTATGATTTGTCTTTATTTCTTGACTTGGAATAAATCTGAAAGAGGACATATTCTGATCATTTTCAGTTTCATATTAGTATCTAGTGCCTCTACTGGGACATGTCTCCATTCTTTAATGTTCAAAAAGCTCTGATTGGTTAGCTGGCCGGCGCTGTTGTGATTGGTCAATTGCTTAGAGATGTCCCGCCCCAGCCTATCACGTTAAATATGTTGGAGCGCTAGCTAGTGTTATGTAGTGATGTCACTTTGTTCCGGATGTAAACACACTAACACAGAAGTCGAATGGAGCTGTTTCAGGCTAGGGGGGGGGGGGAGTGTGTGGGAGAGAAACTCCCCCTGGAGGGAACACAGAGATTTTAGCCTTTGCAGACCATTTACATGCACAAAAACCTATAGAACACGCTACAAGAAAAGCCACAAAAAGAAAACCTATTATTATGCTCTTGAATAGGAGGTTTCCATTTCATTTACATCTGCTAAGGTAGTCAAGTTTTAGTCCTCCTTTAAGAAATACAAATAATTAATTTCAATTTATCGTTAATTACAGAAAATAAAAGCTACTAAAATGAGGATTCCCACCACCCAATGGTGACTCTGAGTCATCGTTCAGCTGGAACCTGCTACAGAGCTGGAGTCATCACAGATTCACGTTAAGCCTCAAGGATTCAAGCTGTTGGTCACACACTCTGCTGCTCAGAATAACCCTATACATATGAACTGTGTAATAACTGCAAATATCAAGTGCCATAAAAAGGAGTTGTTACCTCATAAACTTGCATTAAGTCTGGGCAGCGTTTCCATGAATGACATGGTGGCTTTACCATTCAAAACCTTTTTACTTGTTCTACCAAAAGGACTTTGTAAGGAACTTTTTGTTCATGCCTCTCCCTCTGAAACTTGATCAAACTGGAGACATTACTCTCTGGGTTTATACATTCTTCATGCCACACAAACACTTCAGCACATTTTCAGATTTACCCTAGAGCCTATGCAACTTATGGATCTGGAACAAGTAGTTATGGTTCCATGTTTACTCTACAGTGGTTCTATTTCGTCCCTACTGACCGCCAGAGGCGGTGCTTTAAGCACTGGATATGTCCATTGCGCGCATGCGCAGCTCGAGTACCAATAACAACAAAGTCACCTGTGACCCACGTGACACCGGCTATATCAGCCGGTGTCGTCAGAGGATCTGTTCCTTTCATCTTCTCGCTGCGCGAGAGTACCGTGGCTACATTTTTGTAGCCTACAGGGTTCAGGTTTGAACGTTTGATCTGAGGGATTGCTCTGCAAGCAGCTGGCCGCGTGCAGCTTCGCGACTGACAGTCGGAGCTACGGGTCGTTAACGCGTCCTCCAGAAGCTGTGGCCGGCTGTGCGCTGTGCAGAGCCTCGACAGACAGGTTTGTGTCAGCTTGTTGCTGGTGATGGCTGTGTCCCCGCACCCTCTCCCAGCCAAGTTGTCCTGATTGCCGTCTTATTTTTTGTTTGGCTTAGACTTTCTGGTGACGACAGTGTTCCCGCTTCCTCTCCCATAAAGTTGCCCTTATGCTCTTTTGAAAGTTCTGCTTGTGGCGTTGTGCCCTAGCTATCATTAGCATTTGAGTCCCAGCTTTGGCTGCGTCCCTCATTCAATTTAGTATGGAAAGCCCAGTGTCATATTTTAAACCTGTTTTTCGTTTAAATGCAGAGAGTAAGGTAAGTACTTTCTATTTCTTAGAAGCTATTATCTGGTCTTAACATTTGTGTTCTGACTTGGTCGCTTGATTGTTAGCAGCAGCCGCTTGGCTAACACCTTGCTGTTAAGCGTAACTATTAACTCAGCCGGTGAGGGCAGTGCTCCCGCTCCCGGAAACATAGGGTTTGATTGCAGTAGCGCTAAAGCGTTGTATTACTGCTCCTAGTACTAGACTCCTAGCACTAGGATGATATGCAACATCTTCACTGCGGGTGCTGTGTGCTCCGCATGTGCGGTTACTACTGTAACCATGGCCTACGGTTCTATGTGGGCTGTTCTCTTTCTTAGAAGCTAATTATCTGGTCTTAACATTGTGTTCTGACTTGGTTGCTTGGTTGTTAGTAGCAGCCGCTTGGCTAACACCTTGCATGTACTGTTAAGCTTCATTATTTAACTCAGCAAGTGAGGGCAGTGCTCTCGCTCCCGCTCCCGGGAAACGCATGGTATGGTTGCAGTAGCGCTATATCGTTGTATTTACTGCTCCTAGTACTAGACTCCTAGCACTAGGACAATATGCAGAGAACAATCTTCACTGTGTGTGCTGTGCTGTGTGCTCTGCATGTGAGGCCATTAAGGAGGATTTCATCCTCCCAATATTATATTATCTAGTGGGCAGC